AGAGGTTCCCAAGTGCTGTGGACTGACATGTGTCCTCCCAAAATTCTTATGCTGAAGTCCTAACCCCCATGTAACAGGATTGGGGATAAGGCCTTTAGAAACTGACAACGTTTAAGTGAGATTGTAAGGGCAGAGTCCTGATCCAAGAGAACTGGTGCCCTGCTAAGAAGAGGAAGAGACACCAGAGCTCCCTGTGAGGGCACAGCAAGAAGGTGGCCATACACGGCAGGAAACTGGCTCTCAGTAGAACCCAACCACTATAGCACCCTGACCTCAGACTCCCAGCCTGAAGAACGGTGAAAAAATAACTATCTGTTGTTTAAGACATCCAACCTGTGGTATTTTGCAAAGGCAGCCTTAGCAGATTTTGAAACCAAAGTTGATCAAGGATTTAAGAAATTATTATACCAAGAAGAAATTCTCTTCACATAATTGTCACACATCCAAAAGAAGTCTGGACCCAATGGAGTGAACAGGAGAAGGAGGCGTGAGAGTCACTGGAGACAGTGGGAAGCTTACACTACCCAAGATGATCACTCACTTTCAAAAAACAATAAATAAAATATCTGTGTGGGCTAAATACTATGTGTCAGATACATAGCTGACTTGGGTGGGAGACAAAAGTGTTAAAACTTGGACTAAATCTGGACTGTTCCCTAAATATTCAAGAAGCATTGTTGATTTGGACTCTTAGAGGGAGACTTTCCATGAACTTTTCATGAAATCATGGTCCCTATTAATCAAACAAACTCTTTTCTTCAGATTGGTATTGACACAGTCCTGACTTACAGATTATATGGGATTATTATTTGAAATTTGCAACTGCTAATTCATTCAATTTGTAGCTGGCCAAATCAAAATATTTTGCATACTATATAATAGGTTGTTATAATTTACAAGTATAATGTAACATTTCCCCCTATTCCCAATGGCATTTCTCTTGCTCTCTTTTGAGACTTTCTATAATGCTTAGGTATTTGGCTTGAAACCTTTTGCTTTTTCCCTGACAACAAGCAGTCAGAATTTCTCTGTATGTGTCATTCCAGTCATTTTGAAGGACATTTGGCAACTTATAGGTCATCTAGATGACTAATACTAAATTACAAGCATTTTTAGAAATATTCAATTGTTCTCTCCACCTCCCTCCTAAATCACCTAGGGATTTACTTCTCAGATGTGGTCCTGGACCAGTAGCATCAGCAGTACTTGGAAGCTGGGTAAAAATGCAGAATCTCAGGCCCCACCCCAGAACTACCAAATCAAAGTCTGCATTCTAAAGCACAAAACTTTGTCTTCATTTTCCCAAAGTTGTTGATGTCTCAGAAAACATGAAGACTGACTCCTCAGACTCCAATGACTGCATGATAATATGATAGAAAGATCTCTGGGCATGGAACTAGAAATTCAGGGCTGGAATCCCAGTCCTGCTGTCTACTAATTTAGCACAAATAAATAAACTCCAAGTCTATGTTTGTTAATCATTAATAACTACTGTCCAATTTGCAGAGATTTGGAATATCAAATGTAAAATGCATTTAAGTGTAGCAAACAGTATTTCTAAAGAAATGTGAATTGAAGAGAACATAGCCAAAGGCATGATTTGGTGAGAATCTGGCCAGAAAAGTACATAGAACATGCTAGTATTATAACACAAACTTAGGAAAACCACCTGCTCAGCTACTCAGATTCTTCCCTGGCTATTGGCTGTGTGAAACACAGACGTATAGCCAAAATGATTGTTGGGTCTGTGGTCAATTGGGCAATGCATCTCTTGCAAAAGCATTCAGATTTAACTAAAAAGTAAAAATAAATAAAAGACTATCTAAACAGGCTACCAAATTCAGATATTTGATGTAAAACAATTGGTTGGATTTGTAAGATTTTTTACACGTTGAAATTTTGTTTGCATTGACACATATGCATTTTTTAAAATAATGGTAATCTACAAACTATCCTTTCTAGAAAGTTGTGTTAAGCCAATAAAATGTAGTCAAAGAACTTCCTAAGTTCATCTATATCAAATACAATAATAAAAATTGCAATTATTATAGTTTTATTCTGTCTTTAAAACACTTCTCTGTGGTAGATATTATGAGTATCAGTATTTTACTAATAAAGAGTCTAAAAGTTTAGGTATCACATTTAAGGTCATCCAGGTAGAAAAGAGCAGAGCCAGAATTTGGACCCAGATCTGTGTGATTCCTGAGCACAGGGTGTTTATTATTGTATTATTTCCCACGGCACAGAGTTCCCACTACCTTTCTAATCAACAGAAAATAATCAACAGAGCCTAGGTCACCTTTGTAGGAGGGGTCTCAGGATACATGAGGTGGACTGAAATTCTCAGACGTTTCCTCATCATTATTGGAGATTCATTTGGGGGTGGGGTTTGAAGGGGAGAAGATAAGCAAGATGTAAAAGAGAGGACAGGTTATATGAGGGTATAATTCCTTATTAACAGCCATATAATATTTTCATGAGTTCCACGTCCAATTTTGAATGTTCTGCTCAGTAATTCTACCTAGATCTTCCCTGAAAACTCTCATATCCTTTCTGAACCCATTATCTCCTTGCTTCTCCTCACTAGACCTGTTTCGTTTCAATGGTTTCCCATATTAGTTAATGTGGCCACTATCCACCTGGATATCTAATTTAGGAAGCCTGGAGTCATTCTCATCTCTTGTTCCATCTAAGCACCTATGCAAATCAGAACCCTGGACCAGTTGATTCTCTTCCCAAGCATCTTTCTGATCTATCCGCTTTTCTCCATCCACTACACCTCTGTGTAGTTCAGGCTTTGGACTATTCTGTTTGGACTGTTCTGTTCCCAAGTGCCCTCAATCAATCTTAAACCAGGTCTAGCCCAGCAGATTGACAGCCAGGTTGATCTTTCTAAATGACAAGTCCATACCATCCATGGAAAACTCCCCACCTTCCTAAGAAAAAAAACTTTAAGCTACAGAGGAAATATTTGTGTCTGCACATGCACAAAATATCTCTGGAAGATTCTACAAGCAACTAATGTTGCTTGCCTATAAGAAGAACTGGGTAGTTGGTGGATAGGGCCAAGAGGGAGACTTTCTACCTTATGTAATTTTTAAAATTTTTCAATTTTGAACCATGTAAATGTGTCAAAAATTTTAAAAGAAAAATTCTTGAAATAGGTGAAATAAGATGAAATAGGATGATGTCAGAGATTTGCAAAACAAACAAAACCATGATCAGAAAAAAAAAAGGAAGGAAAGAAGGGTTAGATAATTAAAGACAGAAAATGTTGATAAATCTATCTGCAGGCTGAGTGTATTGTAGGTTTATTAGCCTACAAAGTACTTCATGATCTGCCCTCCGCGTGCCTTTCTATCAACTAACCTAATATCTCTTCACGCCTCTTCCTTCTCTCCATGCTGAACTATTTATACTACTCTGGACCAAACTCCTTTCTTCCTCATCTCCATGCCTTTGCATATGCCAATCATGGTATTGGCAATGCTCTTGCCTTCCTTGCTGCTTTATAATCACCTATTCTTGAGATTTAAGCTCCACAGTCATCTCTGCAGAGAAGCCTTTCCTGGGACCCTCCTTATCTCTTCCAAACAGAGCTATGCCCTCTCTTCTCTAAGCTTTCACAGTACTCTGTACTGACTTATTATTCGGGTTTTATCACTCTGTGGTAAATCAGCACACCTCTTAGAATCAGGAACCAGGGCCCCTCCCGGAGGCTCTGTGCTTCACATGGTCTCCTGGGCCTTCCTCTGGCTGTACCCACCCCAGGTCTAGGAATCTATGAGGTTGGCAGGGTGTGGCTACAGAATCTCTTCTCTCTTTTACTCCACATCCTGGGGTCTTGATTTTTTTTCTTTTAGCTCCACACAGCCCTATCTCTGATGCCAGTGGTTCCATGGGTCTCTTCTTAAAAGAATCATCATAACTGTGGTCATCTCTAGTCTCAAGGGGTGAACAAAGTCAACAGGGAGCTGTTGGACAGAGTGGCCAGAAGGCAAGTAAGCAGGCTGGTGTCCACCAGGGTCCACAGAGGTCCCTTTAAGTGTGGGAGAGAGCTGGGGGGAGGTGGGGAGGAATGCTGCTATGATCTGGAGGGGACCTCCATTTGTACTCTTGCAGAAAATTAGTGGCATACTTGGCTTTCATTACTTGTGTTTTAGATTCAGATCTTCTTTAATTACCTTTAATTTTGTATCTGAAAACTGCATTTTGGTATGGCAGGAGCTATTTTTACATTAATCTCTGAATCCTAGTACTTTGGACAACACCTGACATCAGCCCATGGTTGGAATTTAACAAATTTTAGTTGAAGAAATGAATGAATGAGACTTTAAGAAATGATTTGGAATGTCTGGCAAAACTGATTATGATGATACTTCCTTATTCTAATTTTGCTCCTCTGGGAACATCATATTTTAAAGAACTAATTAATAATAGTGTTAACTGCTAATTTCATAAAGTACTTATAAGCAGGTACACACACACACACACACACAGCATTCCCTCTTCACAATAACTCTATGAGATTAGTACTATTTTTGTCCATCTTAGAAACGACAAAATTCATAAAGAGTAAATTGAAGTAATTTCCCAAATTTACACCACTAGTAAGAGGTGAAACTCATATTCAAACCCAGAAAGTCTGGCACCAGAGTCTTAAGACACTCAATTCACCAAGTCGTCAAATTGCAAGACTCCCAGGGCATATCCTTGTCTGTTGGTCCCTACGCCCTCTAGCTTGATTTCAAGGCTATAAAGCCATTCATTCCTCTGGAAGCTGATGGTTACTGATACAAAATCTTAGGAGGAAATGTTTAGTGTTTAAAAAAGGAGCATATTGTGATTTTAGGAAAACTAAACCACAGCTGAGGCATACTAAAACTATCCAAGAAAACACGGCTTTTGTTGTTGCTGCTGTCACTGTTTCACTTTGTTTCTCTACATTCTGTTTTGGCTAAGATAGAGACGATCTTTGGAAAATAAAATGAAATACTTGCCTTCAAGAGTGGGTGATGCCGGAGGGGGTTGGGAAGCTTGCTGTGTTGGTGACGGAGGTGGTATGGCTGGGCTTTGTCCTGTGCACACAGTGCCGCAGTAGGTATTGGAAAAAAAAGTATTAACAAATTTAATATCCACAACTAAAATAGCTACATCCATCCCCCACATGCATAATTCATAGTCTGAAGTATAAATCCATATTATTATGCAAGAAGAAAAATTGTTACTAGGTGAGATCTTTAGGTGGATACAAACACAGATTCACTTATCTTCAGAGCCATTTCTGAATATATTACTTTTCTTAGGTGTATATAACAATGTCAAATATATCTACTGGACTTCATTAATGGAAAATCCACATGCAATCAAATAAAGCAATTTATTTTCAATATGCTCTTCAAATTATGGAAACGAAAATCACAGAAGCTGAGAGGAATCCTACTATAGAGCAAAATCACCATTTTTTTCATTTAACTAAAAATTCTCAAATGATATAATAAGGCAATAAAAGAAGGTTAAAATTCATAGGCCTTTTGATATTGAACAGGTACATTTTCTCCTGCCAAAATAAATGACCTGCAGTTAAGTAAATAATGGGCCAAAGGGAAAATATATTCAGTTTTATAGAACCTTGAAAGCCTCCCTCAAGTCTCTGGGCTTATTATGAACTGTGTAAGCGCCCACAATCGTTTCTGAGTGCTTCCTTATCCCAAGTGATTTCTTTAATTAACCAAAACCATCCGGGCCACGAACTGTAAACATTAACTAACATATGATCCCGCATGAAATGCTTATAAAATGTTTTATCATTAATTTTCAGTCCATCAGCTCCTGCTGTGGGTTTCTTTTAAATCCAAGAATCAACGTGGGCACATGCACCTTCTAAAATCTCACCGACAACTGGATATAATCAAATGTCAGCAGACCTGCCTGCTTAGGATAAATTAGGAGTTCAAGGTTTGCAGATACTGATATATATAAAATAGATAAACAACAAGTTCATACAGTATAGCACGGGGAACTATATGCAATATCTTGTAGTAACTTACAGTGAAAAAGAATATGAAAACAAATATATGTATGTTCCTATACGACTGAAGCATTGTGATGTACACCAGAAATTGACATCACATTGTAAACTGACTATACTTCAATAAAAATATATATATATAAAAAAAAAGAATTTGTCACAACTAGTTTGCTCTGGTGAGTACAGGATTAGCCACTGGAGCCGCACACACACCACCTTCTGCGCTGGTAAGAGAGGAATCCCAGGCCTTCAAGCCACGTAGAAGGGGTTAGTTTCCATTCATCATAGGACTTGCTACTAGTTGTTAGACCCACCCAGGTTGATTCTTGAGCATGTTCAAGTATATGCACAAAAGCAAAGCAAATGATTTCGTGCCATGCAGGCCATAAATCTAGGAAAGTATCAACCCATGTTATTAATAAAATTTTTTACTCATGAGAGCAAAGACTTGATGGAAACATAACACAAGGTGGAAGTCCCTTTTTCAGTAAGCAAACAAAAGGTAAGGCTGAGCACACTAAGAAAGGAGTTTGATCCCTAGCTAACGTTTGTATAGAAAAAGTGTTTTTCTTCCCTAGCTAACATGTATATAGTGCTTACTAAAATGCCTAAAAATACAGTGCCTAAAATGACCCCAAACAGTTGTGATCTATTAAGTCTACAATCTTCCCAAGATCCTTAGGATGTAGGTATAATTTTCATTTTGTAGTTTGAAACTGAGTTGAACAGGGATTCTGTTTCTCAGCTCCTAAGCAGATTTGAGGTGGTTAGAGCTCCTCTCAGACTCCCTTAGGCAGGCAACGGGTCATCACATGTAAGGGGTTCTGCAACTGGAAAGAGACAGAGGAGTGAAGCTTTCAACCTGAGTTTCCACCTTCTTTGTAGACTGAAGGAATGTATCCTTGGAAAGATTCACTTCCAAGTCTTACTAGAGAGCTCATCTTGAAAAAAATGTTTCTAAGGTAGGATGATATTTTGTAGTTTTTAAAATCTAGGGAGAAACTAGATAGAGGAAGGAGTCAATTAAATATCTAAAGCTTAAAATACAAGAGACCATGAATATACATAAATCAGTTATTTCTTAAATGCCAAGGTTTTCAAAAACATCTTCATAGAATCCTGCCATTCACACTAAACTGCTTTCTCTCCTGTCATGTACTTTATTGAAAAGTAGTGATGTATAATCATAATCTTTTAAAGTCTTGATAAGCTCTTCGATAACTGATTTTTAAGTATATTCAGTTCTTTCCCCAGAGAATAATTCATAGTTCACATGACAAAATACTCTTATATTTTCCTGGAGGAACTCTGAAGTCATTATTTTATTTAAAAGAAAAATTTAGTGAATACTTATCAGTTCCCAGCACTGAAGAACCATTAAACCCCAATGCTGCCAGCACAAAGTTCCCAACAATGGCTAAAACAGACTTACAGACAGATCATTATAATAGACTGTAATGATGGGAAACAATATAAACATAGTAGATGTCCCAGAAATATTTCTGGAGGAGATTCATTGCAACACCCTTTAAATGTGTAAAAAGAATTTCCCAAGGAAAGAAAGGAGGAGGAGAAGGAGGTTCTAGACAGAGAGTATCTACTGAAAAACAGGCCTGGATGCCAAACTATGTAGAACTATTAAAACAGACAAACTGGTGCTTCTGCAGTACAAAGTGCTATCGTTTATATCAGAAATTCTCCATGACTATAATCGACTGTACTGCATGCTCTAACCTGGTTGACTACATGACTGTGAAGCAGTGGTTGCTGTGGGGTAGCAGGACCACAGAAAAAGTGGAAGAAAACGCCTGATGTCCTTTTGCCTCCACAGTGACAGTGCTAGGTAGCCCTGGCAGTGGAGTTATTAGCTCAGGACAACTTTTTGTCATGCTAGGGGACACCAAAACAAATCAGGTGCATCATACTTGATAATAACACCTGACTCTTTAGTACTGACTTATAGAAAGTCTTCTTTTATGCTGAAATAACGTCACAGAATACTATTGAAATCAGAGACCATTTTGCTGGATGCATGTATTATGTGCAATGTTATATAATAAATTATATGAGTATAATGTTATATTAATAAAAAAATTTTTGTAATGAAAGCAATGTAGTGTAGTATAGAGAGACCACAGGCTTGAAGTCAAATAGATGTGAGAGTTGCAGCTCCATCACTTAACAGTCCGTGTGAATTTGGAAACTTCATGAAGTAGCCAAGCCTCACAGTCTTTATGAAATGAAGAAAGTTTTCAGGGCCGTGACGAGGATTAACATCCAACACATAGTAAATACTCAAAATATTCTTTTTCCTATAATGTGTTTACAATTTATATCCCACCTAATTACACAAGAGGACTTGAAACAGACTTTTGAAGTAAGAAAACAAAGACACAACAACAGATAAAATTAAATATGACAGACATAGTGGAACTCATTTACAGGAAAGAGGCTTATCATTTTATTAGGAATCTATTTCTTTGGAATTCTTGAGGATTGTTACTCTTTGAAGGAAAAATTTAGATTGTTGAAATTTACCTTGGAATTCTAAAGGTGCCCCTCATTTTATAAGCTATTACCTGAAAATCCCTCTGACATTCAGACATAGTGAATTAGCTTTATTTTTTTGTTCCTTGAGTGATTTTGGCTGGCTGATTTCCATAATACCTGAATTGCATGTTTGTAAGCTGCCAATACTTTATTGTTCTGAGTTTTTCCTCACCCACGTCGATTTGATTGCTTTCGGTTTAGTGGAATTCCACTGGGGATGGAATACAGTGTGCATTCCTTCTAATGATGTAAGTTACTGCTGTTTTCTTTACTTTGCTAGAAATGATGAATGGAATTACTCAGAATCTCAAGTCAAGTAAGAGGCTATGAGCTGAATTCAGATGATGTGAAGGAGAAATCAATTCACAAAACTTCAGTTTAATTTACCTAGTTTCTTTATTAAAGGAGACTCCCTGGTTCTAAACCATTTCTAGACAACTAAAGCCTATCCCCTAAACCTTGAAACAAATTTTAAGGAAATTTTTTCTCCAATGTCTGTTAGATATTTTTCCCTTGGGTCCCCACTGCATCTTCCTGGAGGTACTGAGTACACCCAGAAGACTACAAACCCTTTGAAAGTCTTCCTGTGCTGCAAACAATGAAAGCTGATAAATCTTGGGACAGAGAAGGTGTCACTCTATTAAATGACCACTGAGTTAACATTCATTTACATCTTTAAAAAGTACAAAGTATGAATGTTACAAATTCTTATCTCAATTCATTCTTTCACCATCATGAAAAGCAGTTGTGAATCTCTGTGAACTAAACATAAAATGGGAAGATCTGAATTTTGTAAAAAAAAAAAAAAAGATTGCCATTTAAATGTACTAAAGCAATATTTTTATTTATATATGTTGTCACAAGATTCCTAGACTATTTTTATAACACGTAGAATAATAGTTATAAAGTTTAGAATTGAGCAAATAGTAAAATTAAATGAAAATATAGTTTACATTTTAGGCTAAGATGTGTGATTGGATTGTGCTAGTGTCTTTTATTAAAACAGGGACACGGTGATTGACCTTCATGTTTCCTTACTGAGTGTCTCCTTCTCTGTCTTGTACTTTTGGAACAGTCACAAAATGGAGAGAAGAAACCAGAGAGATTTAGAGTGTCGGCCACTCCTCCCTTTCTAACACTATTTATTTAAAATAAAAAACTTGACACTACTCATATAATAATCCCAGACTCGTGAGTTTGCCTATGAATGAGGAACTTACCAATAAGGAATCTGAGGAAATTCAGGAGTTTGTACGGGGTGGGTAGATCAAGGTATTTACTCCAATCATAAGTACGTTTCTAACTCCAGGTGTGTATTGCTAAGTTCTACACATGTAATTTGCATCCTTTGTACTCAGTTTTATGGGGGAACAAATAAATGGGCAATTATCACTTGACTTGGGTCTCATTTGTTTCAAGGTAAAGTGAGAACAATAATGTCTCCTCCAGCTGGGCTGTTGTAAGTATTCCTGGGCGTAAGAGTACCCACAAGTCAGT